TAGAAGCATGTAGTGCGTTTTTTATGCATTTTTGATGGATTTTGCATTTTAGTCTGGCCAACAAATTAAAAAAATGCAAAATGCATCAAAACACATAAACAATACATGTGCAAAAACTCAAAACGCACCCCAAAACGCACTGCAGAAACGGATCAAATGCAATCTGCATAGGTGTGAACCTAGCCTTACACGTTAGGGTTGCTACCTCATCCCATTAAACCCGAACTCATATTAATTACACAGATTCTGAGGCTAATTTAATCCAGATAAAGCCAGCCATACATGGGTCAAAATTCAACTGATTTTTCGTCTGAAAATTGGACCTAAGAATAATCGGCCGATTTTCGCTCTTGTTAGTGGGTCAATGGTACTGGCCGATTTTCGTGGTTCCTCACCTTTTTGGTGATCGGGCATGTTGGAAAATTCGTGTATAACAAGCATGCTTTACTGCATAGACAGACTGATTTTACTGTTGTGGGTTTAGCCATCTTGCAGCTCCTCAGAATGGATCCAGAAGGATCCAGCTGACACAGAAGATAAAACAAAACTGTGCACAGAGATGTGTCAATAAAATTTAGCTTTAGATCTGATGCACACAGGGCTTTAAAAATGCTGCTTTTGGGGGCGTGGCCAGGATGTGAGCCGAGGTGGACGTGCAGCTGAGGAGCTCCAGCCATCCTGTAATTAATCTGTTGCCATCCAGACTCTATTGGGACGGTGAGACCCTCTGATTGCCCTGAACTCTACCCCCCCCCCCCCCGCCCTTACTTCCGATGCCATCCAGGAGTCGTTCTGCCAAGCAGGGACTCCCTAGCTCCGACCACACAACCAGACGCCATCTTGGTCGAGCGGCTGCAGGCCTTGCTGGTGGAGATGGACACGGACCCGGGTGAACCCTCTGTCCCATGCACCCCGATACGGGTGACATCATTGCTTACTACTTGTAAAATGTGTGAATGATCACAGAGATCACATGGTACAAGGCTATTCACAACAGTCTTGTACCATGTGACAAGCTGTGACCAATCACAGCTCGCATAGTATTTCTCAATGCCTGCAGGAATGCAGCCAGAGAGAAGGAGAAATGATTGCTTTTACAGCCTTTATGGGTGTAAAAGCAATCAGTGTAAAAAAAAAAAAAAAAAATCTTCATCACCCCCCACAAGTAGTACATTGTCACTATGTCACTGTACTGCTAGGGTGGCAGTATGTTAAAAAAAAAAAAAAAATAATATAAAAAAAATTAATATAAAAAAAATTAAATAAAAATGTAAAAAAAAAAAATTTAAATTATAATTTTTGGTTATAAACTAATTTGGGTTATTTATTTTTTTTTACTAAAAAGATAAATGAATACATGTTGGCCAAGATTTATGAAGAAAGATTTATTTGCAAAATTTTATAAGAAAAGCACTTTTTTCAAAATTTTTGGACTTTCATTTATATAGAAAAAAAAATCCCAGTGGTGAATAAATACAACCAAAATAAAGTTTTATCTGTCTCAAAAAAAATGCTAAAAAATTCATATGGGTACAGTGTTGCATGACCGCACAATTGTCATTCAAAGTGTGATAGCACTGAAAGCTGAAAATTGGCCTGGACTGGAAGGGGGTGAAAGTGTTCAGACTTGAAGTGGTTAAGGACAAACAAGACTTTTTTTTTCTAATTATAATTATTATTGTTTTTTTTTTTTGCAATCCTTAGATAATTAAACTTAACAAAAGTAAACAAAATACACTTGTTCTTTAACCGTTTTCAGACCGCCCTCCTGCAATATACTGCGGACGAGCGGTAGCTGCAGGCAAAGCGATGCACCCATACGTCGCTTTGCTCTTCCGGTTTTAGAGCGCGCATGCGCACACCCCCCCCGCTGACCCCCACTGTCATTTGTTGTAGGAGGTGTATGTCAGCAGGTCTCAGCCAGTGATTTTGGCCGGGACTCTGCCGATCACCTACAGCAAATGGAGATGCAGAGCTGTACCTGTATTTGTAAATACAGGCACAGGATCTAGCTTTTGTTCCAGAGAGAGAAGAAAGACATCACACGTAAGTAAAAGCAGCACACCGCACCCACACACATTAGATAGAGACATTTTAACCCCTTGATTGCCACATTTAATCCTTTGATTGCCCCCTGCCATCCTGCCAGTGCCATTACTACAGTGCCAGTGTAAAGTATTTTTCACTGATCACTGTATTAGTGCCACTAGTGACATCAGATAGTGTCAGGGTCAGTGAGCGTCCCTCCCTGCCAGGGTCAGCTAGCGTTAGATTGCCCGCACATTATCGCACTCACGCTATAGGTCGCTGATCACTGTCATTACTAGTATAGTGTTTGTACAGATCAATATATTGATCACGAACAAAACTATACCAGTGCCCCCTTAGTATTAGTGTCCCCAAAAACACAGTGTTAGCAGGATCCTCCCCGTTCGCTGCCAGCACTAGCATTTAGCCCCAACGCTCCCCCCCACCCCTAACAAGAAGTGCAGTGTCAGTATAATTTTTGATCACTGTCATCTGTAATACATTGTACACAAAACAGCAGTGTTCACAGAATCAGGCTTGATCTCTGTTAGCACTTGCTGGTAAATAATTTTTGTAGCGGTTCAAGCAGTCCCTGACAGCCAGGTGCTCTTTTTCCCGTGAGTTGCACTAGGTACCTGTAAATTTAGAGTCCAAAATGTCCAACGAAAGGTACACTAGTGAAGAGGCCTACAGGATTCTGACCATGTCAGGTGAAAGCAAAGGGGAAGAGTCCCTGACACAATCAGCCTCAGAATACCAACCTGTAGACAGCAGCGACACCCTGACAGGTAGCTCAGATGATGGAGTGGAGGTTCCTGTTAAGATCAGGCATAGCCGACCCCATGAAGCTGAAGTGCTAGGATCGCATGACTTGTCTCATATGCAGCAGAGTGCCAGTACTAGTGCTGCACTACCTTTCGGTGAACTGGCAAGCACCAACGGCCTAGTACATCCTGGTCTTTTTTATACCAGCACTGCAGTATCACTTGGTGAAGTGGCAAGTCCCATAAGTGCAGTACAAGCTGGTTCGGTGGCGAGCACAAGTATTGTCCCACAGCCACCAAGAATTTGCACACATGCCTATAGAGCCCCAGGTATCCTTACGGATGTGCTTGCAAATCCTTATTGGCAGCCCACAGATTCTGCAGCACATGTACTTCCCCCATTCACTGCCCAACCCGGAATTCAGGTGGAAACAGCAAATTTAACTACTCTCCTTGATTTTATGGAGCTGTTTTTCACAGAAGATTTGTACAATTTGATTGTGGGCCAAAGCAATTTATATGCTGAACAATATATCGCCGCCAACCTAAACATCTAACATCAACACATATGAATCATAGGTGAGCATCCACCAATCCCAAGAGTATTATGGAAAAGTAAAATATCTTCTCCCAAAATTCTTTCACAATTTCTTCCCACATATCATCAGCTGGATGAGGCATCAGGACTTCATGCAACTCCTCCCATAGTGCCAAACAGGTTTCCTGGGTCACTTTGCCCACTGTGCTCATACCCATAGGAAAAGAATGGTGTCGGGACACAAAGGTTTGTTGTGTTGCCAAAAATCTAGAATACAAAATATTATCAGCAAAAAAATTTAACAAAAACAAATATAAAATTCCATTTTAGAAGACAAAAAACTGGCAAAATCATATAAAACAAATATACACACATAATAAATATAGAAAAAATAAATAATACATAAAAATGTAAAAAATATGTTTAAAAAATTAAAAAGGAGAGAAAAATGTATGCATATATATATATATATATATATATCCAGAGAATATAGTACATTACACACACACACATACATATGCAACGCATACATATACACACATACATTACACTAGTTAGCATAATAATTATTGTCACTAGGACATTCCTCAGGGGCACACATTCATGTTTCATGCTCATCTGGGTGTCCATGTGAGTTAATCAGGGTCTGCGTTTCTCCAGAAGCTCATTAAATTGCAAAGACTTTTTTGGAATAATTCCGCAGCTCCACAGTCATGTTGGCAAAATATTCTGTAGATGAACACTGGGATATCAAGGGATGAGTCCAGTAGCAAGGATGACTACTCTTTCCATTCAGTTCTCTCCATCTCTCCTCCCTTTGCAACAGAATAAACAGATTTTCTTCATCAATTCATATATTTATATTCGGTAAAATGGTGCACAAAAAGTAAAGTCTGAATGGATTTTTTCCAATCTATTATGGGCATTTGGGAGGGAAAAATCAACAGAGGCATGTGCTTTGGGAAAAAATGCTTGTAAACGCTAACACGCATATATGCGCATTAACATGTATTAACTCGCATGTAAAACATCGCTAAATGCGTGTTTTCTCCCACGTTCTTCTGCCAGCAGTTCTGGCGTTCTGAGCGGTTTTTCTAAATGCCCTGCGTGCATAAGACCCTTAATGTAACAATAAATTAAAGTACCCATTACATGTCAAGATAGAAGATCAAAATTGAAGATCAAAATGTCAAGTGTTGTCAACCTACCAGGTATACTCATTCAGCTGGTCATTTTCTTGTCACTGATGTCAAGAACAATCATTGATCTGAATCCACTAATGATTAAAAACTTGAATGAATGCTCTCAAAATGGAAAATGTTGACAAAAATTCTACTATATGGCCAGTTTACAGTGGAATTCCAACAAAACCTAACTACTCTTAACCACTTCAATACCAGGCACTGTCCTGTCCAGGACAATTTTCAGCTTTCAGTGCTGATGCACTTTGAATGATAATTGCGCGGTCATGCAGCACTGTACCCATATGCAACGTTTATCATTATTTTCACACAAATAGAGCTTTCTTTTGTTGGTATTTAATCACCGCTGAGTTTTTTTATTTTTTGCTAAATAAAACAAAAAACACCTGAAACTTAGGAAAAAAACACACTTTTCTTCGTTTCTATTATAAAATTTTGCAAATAAATACAATTTCTTCATAAATTTAGGTCAACATGTATTCTGCTACATTTCTTTGATGAAAATAATAATCATAATTTAATTTTTAATTTTTTTTTTTTCAAATGTTTCTATTATTTTTTTATTTTTTATTAAATTTGTTTCTCTATTTCATTTTTCAGCACACTGTGACCAAAACAATACAATGTTACCATAGTAACATTGAACTACTCTGGGCAAGTGATCAGGATTTTTTTTTTAAAACACATTATGATTGCTAATACCAGTGTATTTCATTGATATTTGCAATCATTGTTACTGAATGAAACTGATTCATTCAGTCTTTTGTTGTGATTAGCTGTGATTGGGCAAAGCTGATCACAGGATATAGATGGGCTGTGATTGGCCCTGTCTATATCATGTAACTGCCTTGACCAGTCACAGCTAACAACACAATTGTATACAATGATTGGCATGACAGGAAGCCATCCAGTGTATACAATCAACATGTGATCTGCTGTGATTGGTCACAGTGATCACATGACACTGGCAATGGGCCGGTGTAGTGATATGTCATCGGCTGTGTCCCACTGACACAGATGGCGAAAGATTGCGCCACGGCGTGGCCCCGCGGCGGCGTGAGCGGCTTGTTTTGACAGGATGTCATATGAAGCTCAGTCACAACGACTAGTGTCACGCCTGGCTGTCAATCTGTTAAAGGGCCGGGCGGGAAGGTGTTAAGCAGGCCATGCATTATACATTATTTTTTTTTTAATGATGTCCTGATTCCCCCATCCATACATTCGAAGTTTTATAGAGGAATACCTCCTGCTTTGGTATTGTATTCCTCGTTGTCAGAACACAGTGACCAGTGTTGCTGGCGATAGCTGGCAGCAATAAGCAGAAAAACCCAACAGAGCGATTGTACAGAAGTTGATAGATTGATTTATGTAAAACCAGGCTGCCCATACGTGGATCAGATGGTCCCTGCTGAAGGAGCTGAATTTCTATCAATGTATGGCCGCTTTATAATCTCCATCTTTACTGTCATTTTAAATGGTTCATTTGGATCAAAACTGGTGCAAATAAACCTTTTCCTTCACTAACTGTTGCTTTTTCCTTCACTAACTTCAGCTACATACAGCACACAGTGCTGGCTTCTGGCTGTAAGACTTTCTGTCTCATCCGTTTTATGAAAATCTTCCTCTTATTGGGTGAGGAGAAGATTGTAATGGGAACAGCTGGCCACAGCCAATCAGAGGAAGATTTGTATTCATTCATTCATTCTGGGTGTGAGTCAGGAAGTCTCTGTCTCACAGCTGAAGCTCCATGCAGTACAAAGAGCAGCTGTAGCATTTAGTGAAGGAGATAATTTGTTTGGACCAGCTCGGCCCAAATGAACTATAAAGTGATAGGAAACATCTGTATACTTACCTATTTCAGGCGGCTGTGGTCTGGTCATGTGATCCCTTGTGTCAGCCAGTGCCATCTGCAGGGGAGAAGAGAGAGCACTCAACAATTTATTTATTTTAGGTATTTCTATAGTGCTGTCAATATATGCAGTACTCAGGGGCGGACTGACCATTTGGAAACTCGGGCATTGCCCGAGGGCCCGGGGTCAGTAGGGGGCCCCATGAGATGCCCCTGGTACCTTTTTCATAGGCTTTTTTGAGTTTGGGCAAGGACACAGGGGCCCCATGATCCCCGATTGCCCGAGGGCCCCATGAGTTGTCAGTCCGCCCTGGCAGTACTTATATATATATATTTCACATTCATATTCAGTCCCTAACCCTCAAGGGGGTGTACAATCTAAGGTCCCTAATTTACATTCATACCATAGGCGGACTGACAACTCATGGGGCCCCCGTGTAATAGGGGATCATGGGGCCCCTGTGTACATGCCCAAACTCAAAAAAGCCTATGAAAAAGGTAGTAGGGGCATCTCATGGGACCCCCTACTGACCCCAAGCCCTCGGGCAGTGCCTGAGTTTCCAAATGGTCAGGGCCGCCCCTGATTCATACATACACATACTGGGGACAATTTAGACAGGATCCAGTTAACCTACCAGCATATCTTTGGATTGTGGGAGGAAACCAGAGTACCGGGAGGAAACACATGCAAACTCCAGGCAGGTGGTGCTATGGTTGGGATTTAAACCAACGACCCTTGTACTGCCAGGTGGAGGTGCTAACTATTTAGCCACTGTGCTGCCCCAATGATTAATAATGCCTGGGAGTGTGATGTCACACATCCATTGTCGGTGCTCCCCCCTCTCCCCTGCAGCCCCTGCTGGCTGGCACATAGGAGCCTAAACACATGACAAGACTGGAGCGGGCGGAAAAAAAGGTCCGTATCCAGATCTTTCTTAAACTGAGTATACATGCACAGTTTCTTTCATTTCACAAGTTGGTAGAATTGAAAAAACCTGACAGATTCCCACATCCACACAAGTGATGTAGATGCAGGAATGTCACCCACTGTGCGATTGTATTTTGACAGTGGGGGGGGGGGCAACCCCCCTTTCAGAATACACAGATCAGCACTGCAGCCATGGGCTGATCAAATGCTGTTTTTCCAGCAGGACTGTTCGACAGAAGTCAGGAACAGACAGGGGTGCATGTACTGAAATTTGGTTCTTGCTGAGCCAACTTTACACAGGTTACAAACTTGGCTGATTCAGCATGGACCAGCCATATTTGTTATGTATTGTTAGGCTGATTGGACCAAAATTGGTCCATTGATGGACTTGGGTAGAAGCATTGTGTTCTGCCAGCTGGGAAGGCTCCCTGCACTGCCCCCCCCCCCCCTTTTTCCACTGGCAGAACACAATAGCACTGTAGGGGACATTCTCCCATCACTACTGACTGTGTTGATGGGGGTACCATGCGAAAATGAAAGAAAGTCCATTCATCTATGGGAAACCTCAGTAAGAATAGGTGTTAGGATGGGGGAGGGGACACTTTTAAGAGTCATTAGGTTTTGCCTGGAATTCCATTTAGGCTGATTGATTGCATCTAATTATTCATTCAAAGTGTTTCCGGTCATTCTGTTGCCTTAGGAGAAATATAATCCCCCCTCCTCAAGACATCTTACATCTACTGAATAATAAAGGAATAAGAACAATGCACAATTTTGCAAGACAAAAGATCTTATGTAGTGCCCACCTCCTGGTATGTGGTCTGTCCTGACCCCTGACCCCCATAGTATTATTATTATTATTTCAGGTACTTACATAACGCCATCAATTTATGCAGCAATTTATATATCCACATGGAAGAAAAATATATTTAAAAAATATATTTCCCAAATACAAAATGTAGATTTGTGTTTTTAAAGACATACAGTATATTTGAAAATGTATTTTTAAAAATATTTTTCATATATTTTGTACTAAAAACGCATTTCAACATACAATATATATAGCGCTCTGGCATGGAGAGACCATATATGTCAGTGGTCCTCAACCTTCCTAATGCCCTTTAACCTCCATGGCGGTATTCCCGAGTGTAGCTCGGGGTAAAGTTTCTGTACCAAAAGCGGTAACCCCGAGCTACACTCAGGCTTACCATGCAGCACTGCATAAAGATTCCCTGCAGCACTTACCTTGTCCTTCGCTCCCGCGATGTGTCCCCTGCAGCGTCCCCGGCCATCTCCTCCGGCTGATGCCGGCATCCGCCTCCTGTGTTCCGGTCCCTGTGACGTCGGGACGTACGGGCGCCGGCGGCGGCGGGAAATTTGAAAATTTAAAAAAATTTCATTTTTTTTTCAAAACGATTTTACATAGTAAAACATTGCTGTTTCAACCCATTTCACATACATTTTGTCCCTACTGCTTTGTCCTGTCCCCTGTCTGCATTTTGACTGTTCTTTCTGCCTGGAAACTTAGAAAAGTCCATGGCGTCCAAAAAGTGTCCCTTTAGGTCAAAAGCGGGTTTAGACCAGCTAGAGAACAGCGATAGTAAATCAGAACCACTTGCAGAATTGAGTGATAATGATTCGTGGGGAAATTCGTCATCAGACACTGAAAACTATTTTGCGACTTTGCTCAGTGATGTGTGAACTTGGCGCTATATTTCAAATTTCAGTGTTTTTGGTTTGATTATATTATTGAATTAAATGTATGATTTAGAATCTTGTTCAGACAGATTTCAGTGAGTTATTCCTAAAAATTACAGCCTACAATAAAAAAACTACATATTTCCATGCAAAATAATGGTACCGCTTTCAGCACCAAAAATATGAAATAATCAGACCGCTAGGGAGGTTAATACAGTTCCTCATGTTGTGATGACCCCCAACCAGGGGGCAAAAGGGGATCATGGGGCCCCTGTGTCCTTGCCCAAACTCAAAAAAGCCTGTGAAAAAGGTACCAGGAGCATCTCATGGGGCCCCCCACTGACCCCGGGCCCTCGGGCAATGCCCGAGTTTCCAAATGGTCAGTCCACCCCTGCCTCCAACCATAAAATTATTTACCCAGTAATTATAATTCATGAAGTGTCGTTTTACCTCCAATACTGCTGCTTTCTACACAGCAGGTGCTTTCTACACAGTAGCTGCTCTTACACATTGGAAATATGTGTTTTGCGATGGTCTTAGGGGACCCCTGTGAAAGGGTTGTTCGACCCCCAAAGGGGTCGTGACCCACAGGTTGAGAACCACTGATATATGTGTATGTATGAATGTGAGTTAGGGACCTTAGATTGTACACTCCTTGAGGGTTAGGGACTGATGTGAATATACAGTATATATGTAAAGCGCGGCGTAAATTGACAGCGGTATATAAGTACCTGAAATAAATAAAATAAATATCTGCTGCTTCAGGTCTCGATCCCCTTTGATATCAGAAATGTGAGAGCCCTGATCTTGAGAGGTCACTGAATGGGGAGAGGCTGGGGGGGGCATGTTACTCAGCAACCAAGATGCAATCGGCGACGCTTCTGAGAGTAGAGAAAGCTGGGCTGCAGCTTCAGCATCGCGTCCTTACTCCAGCTCCGGCACCATCTTGGAGGCCTCTCTTTTCGTTTGCCTGCTCTCTCCAAAGAAGAGTTTAAGGAGCCCCGTCTGGGAGTAGCAGTCCCCCGAGGCTGGGAGGAGACTCTGCAGCGGTGGGACATTGCAGGGTGTGCTGTATTAGCTGCGGGAACCCCCACAAGCAGGCTTAAGAAGCGGCAGTCTGTAAGGAGCTCTGGGGCCCTGCTTCCTCGCTCCTCCATGCCCAAGCCACGCCCCTCTTTTTA